AATATATTTGCACAGTAAAGTATTTTCTCTGTATTATATATATGTCCTTTTGATTTTCATTCTTATTGTCTTGCTTTAAATATATCCTAAGATACACTAAGATGGAGCTTTTTCAAAGCATACAAACGTCCTATCCTTGAAATCATACTTTCCTGAATATTTTATGTTCAGAGTCAGGAAAAGGAATTAACAAGGAAATAAAAACAGATGTTAGAGTAATGTCAAAAAAAAACCCACCCTGTGAAATTCTTAGAAAACTACATAGCACCAAAATATGCCTTGTTTGGTTTTAAGTTAATTTAGCAGGAATAGAGCTGGGAGGATTCTGTTAAAAAAAAAAAAAGATATATTTGCAATGCTTTAAGCATAAACCACACACGCATTTGCTTTGATGTTGTTTGCAGCTCCTTTTATTCATTGCCTGGGAAAATGTAGTCTAATTTTTTTTCAAGTTCATGAAAGAATGTTCAAAGTATGTAAAGGACTTCTGGACAATTGTGTAAATATGTCTTCATAGAAAACTCTATGCCAGAAGTGTTTGTGTGGCCATCTTGAAATCTCTTCAATCTTCTAGCCTCCTTTTTATGAAAGTGTGAATGATGCAAGAAGCAGGCAAAAAAATCTGAAAACAAAATCAAGCGTGCCATAATTGAGATGGTCTTGTGTAGTAAACTAGCAAACAATAATTCAAAACAAGCGGTCAGTGAACAGCCTCAGCAATTTAAAGGTATTTGTTTTAGCTCAGTCAATATTTGTAGAAATGAATATGTCAACAAAGCTGGATTAAAAAGAAAAGAATCCTTGCTGTACAGTTCAGGTCCTAGAAGAAATCTAAGTTACAGCATCCTGGAGTTCTGTGGACACCTGTCCAGTCATAGTGCAAACACGTACAATACTTAAGGGCACTCACAAAGACTGTTCCATGAAGGACCACTGGTGCCAAGACATACTATTTTTCACTGGAGGACTTGATGGCAACCCTGGAATACAATTTTTATGTTCAGCTTATTCCACAAGGTATACTAGGTCTACATATACTATACAAAGCTCTTCTAGTGTTCACATACAATTCTCCACATAGGAGCCCTACCTGGCATGGGTGATTATTCTCCTGTGCTTTGAAACAAAAGGCTAGAGACTTGTGCCAGGAATTGGACCTCTGGACATCCAGCCTCTTTCATAGCTTTCCTATTTACCTGGTTCTCCAGCCTGGAGACAACAGAGATGAACATCACCCAGCCTTATGGCACAAGCTAGTGAAAAAAATGATTGAAGGTTGTGTGTCAGGGGAAGTCAAGGATATGGAAAATAATTCCTTCTCTGTCATCAAAGCAAGAGTGCTGATGACAGATGTACTGTCAGTGACACAGACTCTACTTCTGATGAGTGAAAAAACCCAAACCACATACTATTTGTGTCTGGGACAAATCACCTTTACTGTCTGACTTATGCAGGAAAGAGGCAAAGGCCTCAGAGCCAGCCCATGAGTTTCTCAACACCTGACGCCACACCTGCAACATCTCATCCAGGCTTAGGCTGGCTGGGCCCTGAGACAAAAACTATACAAGGCAAACAGCCTCAAGAGAAGTCTTTCAGACCACAGTGCTTCTCAGAAGTCCACTTTTCACAGAAGCTGTTCTCTGTGCACAGGGCCTGAACAGAACCCAAACCCAACAAAGACAGACAGAGAACATGCTGTCCCTCTAACTCTGGCCCCCAAATTTATGGTCAAGAGCACAGATCGAAGCTTTTAAATTGCGGCTCTGGAGAGTGCTGGCAAGTGTTCTTGTGTAAGGGATACAGAATCAGTTCCCAGCACAAAACCTTCCACAGTGAATATCACTCGGTTCTACCAGATTTACACACTCACTAGTGTGAGTAACCCTACTATCTAGTATCTATCAAAATGTAACCTAAGAGAAGGTAATTGGTTATGATTCAGTTGCTTTTTTTATTACTTCTGTATCAATAACATCTGTCATAGGATCATGTGTTACTGGAAGTAAACAATGGAGGAATCACTCCTGTGCTAAGTGACTTTCCAAGTCCTAAGAAGAAAATTTTCAATATACAGCCAAGCCTGGCTGAGAAACTAAGGAAAAGGTATAATTTACTACTTTTTGGTAATAAATGTATGCAACAAGCCTACACACAACAGGCTGAATTGGTATGTTCAAATCCATCCTCATTATAGAGATTAAAATGCACGTTTCTCTTCAATGATTCTTTTTTTTTTTTTTTCTCTTGCTGCCTCACACATTGCCTTTTTGATGGCTTTTCCTGCTTTAGGGGAAATTCTTCCAAACCTCTAAGATTAATCCTTATGGTAGTCAGTAGCTACAGACATTGGATCTGATCGTTTTTTTCTTAAAATTCAAAAGGGAGTTTTGCCATTGGATGACGAAACCCTTTATTATAATTTCTATTTGAGAAAAAATATTTTCAGTTAATTGCCACATGAACCTTGGACTCTTAGAGGGGTTAGACTGGAGAAGGGAAGACCGAATGAAATGAGAATCTGAAAGTCACTGCTGATGTAATTTTCTTCTCAAGAAAACAGTAGTGTTATAAATTTCACACATGTAGCTGGTTTTGATGCCAATTTTTCATAAAGTTTGTTTCATTAGCAATATATATTGCTACAACAAACACCAATTTCTTGCCAACTCCTGTCACTGCAGGCTAGTTACACATGTTGCAAACTTGCTATCAGCTGGATGAGGAAATGGATATACATGTTACCTGCTTTGGGAATGGATATGGTCTGGTATATTGGGCTGGGTCAAAAGTCATTGCACAGTTTTAGAAACAGAAAATAATAATGACAAATTTGAGACACGTTAACAACAACCATTTATATTTCAGGATTAATTCAGAAATATTTTCTGATCACTCAGAAACATTAGGAGTGTCTCTGCTTAGAAATGCTGTCCCTGCTGTCTCTGCTTAGTAGACACTTAGAGTACCTGCTAAGAAATACAAATGTATATCAACTAATAATATCAAAACAAAAGTCATCAGAAATTTCACTGGTGCAAATCAAAACTATGTGCAGACATGTGTTGACTGAAAAGGACTGTTCAAGAAAGAGGTTCAGCACAGTCTGCTGACTAAAATCAGATTCAGAGTTCAGCTCACTGAAGAAATGACCCACAAAAGCTTTCCTCAGAGGAAAACTTGGAGTTTATTTTACATGGTGAAGTATTGGTCTCTTCCTCCCACCCTACTGGTATCTGTAAAATGCCACTTAAGTCAATGGAAGACTGCCTGACTTGTAGACTTTGGGTTTTACCCTCTCATGTTTTCTTTTTTCTTAGATTTATATATGGCTTCTACCTTAAAACTAAATGCCTTGTTCTTGATGTTACATCAAAGTCATGAACTAAAATGCTTGCTCTATGTTACATCAAAGTCATGTACTTGATTTTGCTGGACCTGCTCCTAGTTAGATGTTTCACTTTCGTAACTAATAATGGTTGAAATACAACTCTGTGTAAGAGTCAGAATCCATGAAATCATCATTCCTACCACTGGCTGCCCTGAATTTACTCCAGTGTCTTGCTTCCACGCTGTAGCTGCTGACTCTCCATCAATCGTTCAGTACTATTGTACCACAATTCTTCACGAAAACTTGCATTACAATTTATGAATAGGAGATTTTATCTATGAAGAGCAAATAAATGTTTGCCTCATATTTCCCAGCTCTGTCCTAGCTCCTTATTTCATTATCTTTTTAAAGCCTTAGTTTGAGAAAATCTCTGAGTCTTTATTTAGGGCCAGGAAATCTTCTAGTGTCACAAGTTGTTAGCCCAAAGCCTCAATATATCATCTTTCCCGTCT